TTTCCTATAAAATAAAATGAAAATAAAGGCAGCTTATTCCATAGATAAGCTGCAGCACTTAAGGACTGTGCTTAATCAATTTGATGCATGATGTCTGAAACTGGTTCACAGTTCTACTTTATCATTGTTAATTTGGAGGCAATATGATTGACTTCTGTCCTCTTGATAGAATCCCTTAAGTGCATGCTTGTGTGTGGCTCTGATCTACTCCACTATTGCTGAGCAGGTATGTCTATAACTCTATATTCTAGTGGTCATGTGTAGTTGACTCTTACAAGATAACCATCTCATTTTTCCTGTATTACTAACTTAGTATAGAGTACAACGACTTGATCTGGAGAATTTTAATTTATTTTAGTTCAGTAACTTAAAAGGTGGCGAATAATTGTTAGGAGAACATTTGGTCATAATGTCCAACAATTACACATGAATGGAAATTAACTGGGCACTCGGTGGATCTTTGTTGTATAATGTAAAGTAACCTAACACTTGCAGTCTGGTAGGGTTTAAACCTTTTGAATTGGTCCGTTTCTGGTTCAAGAAGATGGTAATCTACCATAACATTTGTCCTTCTTGATCAGGTCAGAGGCATATGCAGAGATTATGGGGTGGTTTGCATTCGCAGGGAAGGACAAGATGTTGATAAAATTATCTCAAATGATGAAATTTTGAAAGAGAACAGGGTAATCGCATCTCTTGATCTTTTCAGTGCTTTTTGACTCTTACATTGTAATAGTCAAACTCTCATTCAGTAGTTGTAAAACACTAGATTTTCGTAGTTACACCTAGATTAAATAACCATTACCCAAAGTGATATTTCTCTCATGCATTTTTCTTTTCTACACCTATGTATGTATAGTCTGAATATAGATTATGCAAATTGGGACTGTATTGTACAAGGGTAGAAATTGGTCTGAATTGAAAAATCGAAAGTTTCATAATGGTTTGAAATAGTATAAAACCTTTTGTCGCTCAAATAGTTTTGATTTGAAGCCAGCCCATTTATTGTTAATTCTTCTCCTTTATTACAGGGTAACATAAGAATCGTGGATGAACTTGTACCGAACCAAATAAGTTCAACGAGAATAAGGTAAAGACAATATGATTCATTGACAAACATGCTAAGGAGAATGTGGAACTGATAACTTACAATGTATTTCAGGGATTGCATTTCAAGAGGATTGTCAGTAAAATATCTGACTGCAGATGAAGTAATTGATTACATTAGAGAACATCAGCTGTACTTGAACTCAAATGACATGCGATGACGATGATCATCAACAGAAAGATCTTCCTCGTTTTCTTTCATCTCAAAGACTTCAAAATAAGTTGATCATCATTCATCCTAAGCTCATTAAGAAAATAATCTCAAAACCATTTTTTAGCAAATGCATAATTTGGTATATGTAATAGATCAAAGAAACTAACTTAGTTTATACTCAAATACATAATAGAATCCATAGATACAGATACAGATCTTCTCTAACATGTGCTAAGGCTGTAGATGGCCTTTTCTTTGCTAAGGTTGCCGAGCCATCAGCGGTAATTGAAGGGCTTAAAAAGGTAGAATTCAACGATGTGGTGTTGAATGTTGAAGATGCGATAACACAATTTGGATGTGTATGGCTCATGAGCATGTGAATCTGACAACTGAAGCTGATAGTTGAAGTCAAAGCTTCACATGGGCTTTTTTGTCTTACCATTTTGTACACTCTGAAATTTACTCCGACAGAGACCAATAGGGTTGGCTCAACCTTTGGCTCAATTTTCTTAGGGTAGTGCTTAGGCTATAATATGAGTAGAAATTATGTGTGCAGGATGTTCGTCTTTTTTTAAAAGACAAATTGTATTTGATATTGCTGATGTGTATCGATAAGACGTCAACATATTTTATTCTTGACATGTTATCTACAATGATACCGACACCTTATGATATCGAATCGACAATACATTCTTCTCGTTACGAAAGAATGTATGATTTCTCATTAATCAATAGTGATGGGTATGCATTATCAAAAGGAAGCAAATGAAAAATAGAATAGTGGTCCAATCATGAAAAACTGTTTTACTGCTTCAATAATGTTGTTTAAGAATATAAGATCAGATGTAATATAAAGATAAAGTACCGATAAGTAATAGAAACAAATGATGATGTTCCTGAATTTTGACTTAACCCTAATAATTAGCATAAAAAAAGTTGTCATCTTTTGACCAAACTTGATGCATGCACTAGTGAGCTTCTCACAATCATTTTGTTTTGTGAATAAATTGATCATTTGCCCAAGTCATTTCCATGTCTTCTACTTTATATATATGTCTAAGTCAAGACCAAAGCCTTGTTAAGAATAGTGTTGGTGACTCACCAAAAGAAAAGAATGATGTTGATCAAAGCATTGGTGTAGCATAGAGCAAGACATCCTAATTAAAATTCATGTAGACAACAAAATGAAGCAATGGCATCATTGTAATATGGACATAAAGAAGGTTTACTTAGACAGCGTGGGATAATGTGGGATGATTAGACAGCGTGTTGTTGGTGATTCTTTTTCTTTCATTGGTAGTCAAAGCATGCAACCCAAATCAAATTGAAGGGTGAGGCTCCAACTAGTATATTTTTAGAAAATTTTAACATTTCCTCTAAGGGTAATTAAACTCATCTTTCTCATAAAGTTCAAGTAAGAGTCAAACTATTTGTACAATATAGATATATAGGCTTTTTCATCTAAGATTAAATATGGGTTGAATCAAACGTTAATTATAATGTGATTATATGTTATTGACATGTTTTTATAAATGTGATGTAGATATAGAAAGAGCTTCAGCTGCACAACTTCGCAACGGAATAGAGACAGTTGAGCAGTCAGTTATACTTATGAGTTGAATATCTCTCACTATCTTACAACGAGAGAGTTTCTTGCAATATGTTTTTTTCAATAAAACTAATGTTGTATTAACTTATTAACCAGTTAACGTTTGGCAGTTGTTATATTACATTATATTTATCAATTACATGGAATAATAAAGCAGAAAGTCTTTAGAAAACAAGCACTGATTGGACCCCATTAGCTGGTCCCCATCTCAAAATTGAGAGATGTTCGAGGAAGAAAAAAGCACACCTTAAAATTGAAGAAAAAGAAGAAGAGGGGTCGATCGTAATGTGAAAAGTAAAGCAATTCCAATTTTCCATAACATCGGCGTAAATGGAGCTTATGTTAGATGGACCGACCACTAAATGGGTCCTACATATGTAAGATTTTAGGTTGCTTTCCTGCCCATATTTGTCCATAGTTGAACTGTGGAAGGAAAATGAATATGCGGGCATTCTATGGGGATTGAGGAACCACAATCATAGTCATGTTAGCTAGCTCGCTACCTACGGTAAGGGTTGATCATCCCATCTTTGACCTAGAAAGGTTGACAAACATTATATGCATGATGCATGCTCCACATAGTAGAGGAAGACAGAAGCATGTTTGTCACGTGTGTTAAGTGTCTATGTTCTTTGAAGATACAATATATATGTTGGACTCTTCTGCAATATCAGCTAAGTAATCCCACCCACATTTCACCTCACACACCAAAAAAATGTTATAAGTTATTTGGATGATTTTTGTTGGCCACTTTACTAATGGAGGTAGAACCTCATATCTCACTTCTATTAGCGAGGTGATATTAATGTTGAAATGATATTGTAAAATAGACTTTTTTATCAACATATCATGTGATGTATCGGATACAATAATTTTTCCCCAAGAGAAACAGTTGAGGTTTGGTCACGAGCATGGTGTTCTCTGTTTTTCATAGATACAATATCTGTGTTATACATAGCAGCAGCTAGCTAAAAATTAAGCCTAGAATCCAATGGTGGATATTGTTTGCTATTAGGTCGAAGAAAAGGGAAACATCAGTACGGTGGGGGCATGGCAAATTAGCAGATTACAGATAAGTCGATGAGTACTTCGATTGGTGGACTTGGTTGGTAAGTATTCCTCTAAAGCGCACCCGACAAATCTGGCTCAACAAAAAGAAAGGGAAAAAGCATAAGGCATACTAACAGGGTATGGCCCCCCAAAAGCATAATTCATTCAAAGCTGGTTATATAGCTGTTCACTACCTAGCTTCGAAAAAGGAGGTCTTTTCGTGTACACTGTATCTCGTATACATTTGAGAAATTTTTTGGTCCGCCCCTAGACCACATCAATCATTAGTCCATTCTTAAGTTTCGTTTGAGAGTTATTTTAGATAAATTGATAGTAACTTTTATGGAATCACTTCTCTATATAATCACATTAGTTATTATTAAAATAATTTTATAAAGAAACATGTAGGAGATGCTTTTCTCAAGAAGTGATTCTAACAACGTATTCTTATAATAAAGCGGACTCTTCTTTATCGGGGTCTCATCCTCCCCATAGGGCCTACTCAAGTGAGACTCTAATACAAGAAAGGTTGTTTAACTGAAAAGTAAACGGACGGTTAACGTGATCAACTGTGGAATCGAACAATGAGTCCAAGAACATATCTGTACATAATAGTAATAGAGAGGAACCGGGGACCCTGCATAAATATACTAGGCTATCTATTAAACTGATCAAATGATCTGATGAGTTTGTGACTATCATCACTATCTCTTGAATCTTATACCAAATATGGCAGAGATATTGATTTGGTGGAAATATAAGGTAGGGCTACCAAAATTCACTAGTAAGATTTCATTTTTTAAAAATTGAGTCATTATTTTATGATTTACTAATGAGCCGAGTTAGCTGAGTTAGCCAAGTTAGCCTAGCCCAATTTTATATTGGGTTAGACTTGGATTAATTTAGAGTGCTGTTAAATGAACTCTAAAATTAACTGAGTACACCATACTATAAAAGTATATATTGAATTACTGATTTACCCTAATATAAAATGACAAAAAAAGGATATATAGAATTGTGAAACAAATATAATTTTAATAAGTACACCCTACTAACCATATTCAACCCTAATCAAGAGATTGTTTGTCCGATTGTGTTTTTAACGAAAGAGGTGGTTATTGCAAGAACTTGGAATTGCAAAAAAAGTGTCAACAGTTTTAGTAGAAGCATAAATCCATATGAAAAGTCAAAGATTTATAAACATTATTAAAAAAATCAAGCTGAAAATCAACTATAAAATAATGCTACAAGTATTAGGGTTCTATAGGGTGTACTTAGTTAATTTTATATTTTAATTAAAATATTAGGGTGTACTTAGATCATAGAGTGTACTCAGTTAATTTTAGAGTTCGTTTAGCAACACTCTTAATTTATCAAGTCCATATCACTTGAGTTACACTAAAACTCAAGAATGGTAACAAAAAAAAATTACATTTTAACATAGACGAAAAAATGTAGAAGGATTTTCAGAGATTTCGAGAGAAGTGGCCTTACGAAATAAAATTTGATGCAAGGTATCAACTAGCTTATCGAGAGAAAGTGGCCTTACGAAATAAAAAGTATATATGAGGCACGTCTTGGAAAACATTTAAGTAATTTCCTAGGTTTGCAGGATAATCATATTGGTCAATTATCACACGATCCGTAAAATAAGGAAAATAAGCGGGAATTTACAATTTTCCACCCAAACCACATTATAAAACGGTGAATTGACACTTTCCTAAGTACTCACACCTTCCCTTGTCAAAATTCTTCTGCAACTCATTTTAAGACGCAACTTAAGTATCGTAGCAATCTTTTCCATCGCCACACCAGTGTTACTCTCATTATTTTTGTATGTTTCTTGTTGCAGAAGTACGATATAACTTTCGTCGGAACAAAATCTCGTTGATTCCTACCCAAAAATCTTGTTCATCATTTTTTTTTCCTGCATCAACAAATTTAAAACATTTTCCCTTTTTTTCTTTTTTAATCAAAGATAAGAGAAAATGATTACTTTATTATTTATTTTTTTGTCAGCAAAAGAGAAAACGAAAAGGTAAGGGGCAAGCAGGTGCAAAATGAAATGGCGCTTGGTGTGGCGATGATGATGGCAATTACATATTTGGATTATAATTTATTTTCTAAATCTCGTTTGTGATTTGGTTTTTAAATCAGAATCCCTCGTCTATTTGAAAAGGAAAGTGCATTAAAAGTACATCTACTGTACATGGCAAGAAATCTCTCCCCTCATAGGCCGAGGGCTCTATATATTCAGAGTCTACGTTTCACTTCAGTCTTCGTGACTCTCTCTCTCTCTCTCTCTCTCTCTCATCAGTTTTTCTTTTCTCTGTAAACACGATGTCCCGTGGAGATGCAAAAGAAGAAGGTTGGCTTGGACGTGAGGTTTGAAGTGAAAGGTGAATTGGGTTATGCCTGGCTCCCTGTATGCCACAAGCGGAAGCTCAATCTGGTTCTAGATTGGCTACTGCGGGTGGCGTACGAGGAGCCAAGCATACCCTCTATCTTTCTCTCTCTCTCTCTTGTTCAATTATTTTGCTTGCTGCATCTGCACATATGTATAAGTGTTTGTATGGTTTTCATATTTGAATCATATATTTCCCTCTGCTTGCTTGTTGTATGTGTTTGATATAAAATGAGACGCATTTAGATGTACACAAGTTGTTGAATGTTGATATGGCTCAATGTAAATGCCCTTGGGCA